CTCAAGATCAAACAGATGGTACTTCATTTTCCTTGCTAAATGATAAGCTTTTAGAAAGCAGAGGGCATGGGTTCTTAAATTCGGAGCTGGAGGAGACCTCAAAGGTCATATAATCGAAGTCCTCGGGAAACTGAAGTCCAGAAGATTGTGACCTGCCCAAGGTCACACGGGTGACAAGTAACAGAACTGAAAGTCGAACGCAGGTCCTCCTAACTCCAGTTCCCTCTCCATTGGACCAGATTGCCTCTCAACTCTCCAAGGCTTCTGTATCTTAATATTCTCAGTCCTCAGTATGGTGTTCTGGACTTCATAGTTCTTTAATAAACATTCGTTGAATTCTGTAATTCAACCTGATTGAAAGCTGATAATTGAGTTAGGGTGCAGAATGAGATGAGATGTAAATCTTTGCATACAGCCAAAGAAAGAATTTGTTTTGCTTGATGAATCATCTTTGTCAGAAGGAATGTTTTTCCTTTTTTTTTTTTCTCCTCAATGGAGTAAGGGAGGAGGAAGAGAAAATAGGTTTCTATCGGTTACTTTTTTTAATTGAGAAGATGGAGACAGGCACTTCAGATGTGAAATGTTCCCTCACTTTCAGATGAGGTCGCTGAATTATTAGTTTTGCTTCATTGTTTTCCTTTGTGACAGAGAGCACTCAAGGAGTAGAAGCAATCTGCAAATGTTTTTCATGTAAAAACAAAGCATCAATACAACAAAACAAAAATTAAACCTATTGGTTGAATTTGAAGTACACTTTTACACCTTGACTTTCTGTCAAAATATGCTCTCTGATAGCAATGTTAGAACATCATTTTTAGGGCCCCCAATTAAGGTCATAATGAAGAATGGATGTTTGTTGTGTTTTATAGCTCATTTTCACAGGCCTTATGGAGGAGTGGGATTGCCTTTGAAGACAGCTATATCCTTGACATTTAAATGATTGTATTTCTACAAGTAGACTGAGAAATGCAGGAAATGATCTGACGCCCAGGGCAAGTGACACGCAAGTCAGATGAATGCCAAGCCCTAGTGAGAAAATCATATCAAGGAAGAAGTCAGGCAAAAAGAAAATGGTGAAAGGAAGATGTATTGAATAGAGCAAAGGAAAGCAATAAAGCACTGAAAAAGCCCATCTCCACAGAGGACACCAAGAAGCTACTATGCGTCCTGAGACAATGCACAGAGGAAGAGAGAGACAGAGAGACAGAGACAGAAAGACAGAAAGAGAGAACAGGAAAGAAACAATGACTTATAATAACAGCTCACATTTAAATAGCACTAAAATTTGCAAAGTGCTTTATAAATATTATCTCATGTGATCCTAACAACAACCTTGAGATAGGTGCTCTTATTATCCTCATTTTACAAGTGCTGCTAGCAATTAAGTGACTTCTCTGAGTCAAACAGCTAAGAGGTATCTGAGGTGTATTAGAACCCAAGGCTTCCTGACTCCAGGCCCAACACTCCAACCACTAGCCATGTCCATTGGCTGGGATACTTAGGCTTAAAAAAAGGTAGAATACATCAGAAATGCCCATTTGGTACCATCAGACATTAGTGAGGGAATGAATAGACAGGGCTGTAAGAATAGGAGAGAGATTTTTCAGGAGGATTTTGAACAAACTTTCAAAGAAATATCATCTGCTATTTCTACAAATACTGGTTTTGGAAGGCACCACTCTAGATTTCCATATATGGAGTTGTCATGCCAGGACAGTACAGTTCTTAAAGAAGGGCATAGATACCACGAAGGAGATTTAGCTAATTTGAAAACACACTTGAGTAACTTATACTTAGTGTGAAGGAATGTGCTCCCTTACATTTGCTAAATAGTTCATATGGTATATAATCTATGGGGGTTCTATATGAAAAAGTAAGTCAGCTGTCTAGACATCCCCTAATCTGAAGCTCAGGAGATTTAATAGAATCAGATGAGGTGGAATAACCTTCCCTTAGGCCTCTCAGATCAGAGAGATCTGATCTCCACCTGGCCCAACCCAACAGAACAAAGGGGAGCTGACCGTAGTAGTGGACTCTGAAAAGGAGTTCAGAGAGAAGGGCTTCCCTCAAGAAGGGAGTTTTTGTTTCAAAGGAGAAGTCTGCCTCAAGAGGAAGAGAGCTTTGGACTGCTGCCCCCCCCCCAAAAAAAATAAAAGAGACAAACTGAGGAGTTCACTAATGGGATTTCTGACTTTGTAAATGAATAAAGTAGAAAATCAATAGTACCATGAGCTATGTTTTGCCTTTCTTTATAACCCCAGTGCTGAGTGTGGTGCCTGGCACACAGTTGGTACTTAATAATTGCTAGTTGACTGATTGAGCTAACAGATGGAATTTGGATTATTGAGAGGCATTGTAGGATCAGTGGATAGAGTGCTGGACTTTCAGTCATCAGATACCTGAGTTCAAATCTCACCTCTTACATTTACTGCTTGTGTGGCCCTAGGCAAGTCAATAAATTGCTCTCCATTTCAACATCCTCATCTCTGCAATGGGGACAATAATACCTATAGTCATAATAACAACTCATTTGTATGTCACACTTTAAGGTTTGAAAAGCATTTTCTATACAACATCTCATTTTATTCTCCCAGCAGCCTTGGGAGGTCTGGGAAAGCTGAATAATGGGATTTCATTAGTGTAAGGAGCTACTAGGAATGAAACTCTCTGCCTAAGCAGATCCAGGAATAACCTAATCATTTGTGGTCTTAAATCAAAGTTCTGTAAACTTGTTCTTTTTTTTATATAGTAAGCTTATAAATCTGGGATCTGTAAACTCATATTTTTTTTTAATAGCTTAACAATTCAATTTCAATATAATTAGTTTCTTTTATAATTCCATGTATTTTATTTTGTGTATTTAAAATCATTCTGAGACAAGGTCCATAGGCTTCACTAGATTGCCAAAGGGGTCCAAGAATTAAGAACTCTTGGTTGAGTGATAGCTAGGGCAAGGAAAGACAATTTGTTTTGTTTTGTTTTGATTTTGTTGTTGTTATTTTTTGGGGGGGGAATTGATGTTTATAGGGAGAAGAAACAGTGTCAATGGCGAGGGGGGAGTTGAAGATATATGACAGAGAGAGGATCAGTAGTGAATGGAGTTAGTCTTGGAAAGGAGGAGGGCCACTTCATCTCCCAAGACAGAGGGAAGAGTGGGCAGCTGAAGATCTATCTATATTTCCCTCTACACCTTCAGTGATATCTTATGCACAGTAATTGTTTAATAAGTATTTGTTAATTAATAAAGGATAATGACCAACTGTCCTCCATTAAAGCTGCAATAAGGAAGCCTGCTCTAAGATTATGAGTTACAAGTGATTTTCTGGATGGCATTGGTGAAGGGAATTTCCATGCCATACTGACATCAAATGCATCACAGATCTGGACAAAAGAATAAAACAAAATGACTCAAATCCTCTAATACTTCATAGGGTTCTTATGAGGCTCACATAATGTCGGTAAAACACTTTTTAAACCTATATAAATATCCATGATTATAACCCAAGGGACAATGGTTTGACCCACATACAGCATAACTCAATTTGTGCAAAGTGAAGTACTTTGTAATATGATCTTACTTTATTTGAAGACGAAACCAAATATTTTCTAAAATTGCCTTCTAACTTGGAAGGGAAAAAAAAACGCACTCCTCTTACCTTAATGACTAAAACTTCCTGTTTGTAGGAATAGACTGTGGATTCTTGAGGATTTATTAATATGACCTGTACATTCTCCATGTCTGCAGTTCTGTGATGGTCTAATTATTATGCAGACTCATGTTTAGCGCCTGAAGAGTAGGGAAACTGGTTGGAAAATATATGCCTGTGCTTCATCGTCTCATTATGCCCCATGCTCTTTCACTTGGTAAAATCATCTGTGACAAGCCACTTTCCTGGGTGAAGTGCTCAAAAGACACTATGAGACTCAGGACTGGATGAAAGGTATTTGACGTCAAGTGCATTTGACATCCACGGGTTTGATATGTTCTCTCTTTCCAAATGATGCCAAAAGAAGACCAAAAAAAAAAAAAAGACCTGCATATGAGACTGAAATATGGAATGAGCCCCAAGATCTACTTTCCTCTATCCTCCAGATAATTGTGGGGAGTAGTAGCAAGGTGACCTTCATTCCCACCGTAGCTCATTGGCAGGAGCACACAATTCAGACTTGCCCTCCTCTGAAGGTGAGACAAAGTCTCTGTGATGTTTTTGAAATAAAGTAATTATGACCCCCTTGTATGCTGGGCAGGTAGGCTCTGTGGCTGCTTTATTTGTGCCTAAGTGTGATTGTCCTCCCATTTCCCATCTCATTATTGTCTCCTGTGCTCGGTGTCTCACTCATCAGTAACTGCATACTAAGTAGTTGTAATAAGAAAGAAGGGCTGTAATGACTAATGAAATCCATGGAAACACAATCACGTTTCTTGATGGTTCTCTCATTTTAAAGGAAAGTTTTTTGTCCAGGGAAGAATAATTTATTGTTAAGAAAACACCACTATTTATTTTCATTATCGCATTTTTAGCAAAGAATCATTAAGAGGCGGGTAAGCTGACATTTACAAATTCATATTTCAAACAGGGATATTTGTGTACTCCATAGATCTTGTCTCCTGTCTCATCTTCCTCTTAAAAGAGTTTGACTTATTGTTATTAGGTAAAAGCTGGGGTGGGCCATTAATTGATTGCAATTAATTTAGAGTTAAGCCTAAACATTATTAATAGAATTAGAAAATATTATGGGTATAAAGGCTAAACATAGAGCTTTGCCTCTGTCATCAAATTACCTCTTTGAAAACTGTCTAGCAGACAGTGACACCAAGAATTCAAGATTGGCATTTGGCTACTGAGTTCTAACCAATTTCAAAAGAATTTTCTATTATTTGTGTTTGGAGCAGGGATATATAGGTAAGGATAGGGGTCTTCACTTTTCCTACCTACTGCCTCCGTCCACCCCCTCTCAATCATCCCAAAGCTAGGAGTAAAAATCACTTGCCAACTTACCTTTCATTAGGGTCCTGGGCAAATTCTGGAGTCAGCTTCCCATTCATTGCAACCCATTTTTAGGATTCTGAATGACTATTTGATGGTCCTTCCAAGATTAGCAGCAAGGTATAGTAGACAGAGTGCTAGGCTTGTAGTCACAAAGACACAGATTCAAATCCTGATCCATTCACGGGCTCTGACAGTTAGAAGTTGTGCAGCGATGGACAAGCCTCTCTGAGCTTCAGTTTCTTCATTTGTAAAATGGAAATGGTAGCTGCTGAGGTAACTCTTTTATATGAGATAATGTATATAAAACACTTTGCAAACTTAAAAAATCTACAGAAATGTCAGGCTCTCCAAAAACAAAAGAAGTATGTATGTTAAACTCGAGCCCTGAAAAGGACTTCAATATCCGGGTTGGTGCTTCCTAGAGCTCCCTAAGCTCCCAATTCCTTGTTGTCCTTAAAACCCATGACTTCTTCCTTTATTCCTCCTCAGTCACACCTAGGAACCGTCACACACTGGATCTCACTAATAGGCATGACAGCGCCACCTCCTCCTGATATTCCTCTATCTCACCACAACCTCCTGTCATTCCATCTCTTCCTATGCCTTGTTCTGTCTCAATCTTTTCTTCACTCTTATCCAGATCTCTAATTTCTCCAACTTTCAGTATTTTCTCAGGCTATTAACCCAGTTCGGACTTCACTTTCCTCCTTTTCCAATACTGACTCTATATAACTATATAGTTAGCTAATTCAAATCTACATTGCCCTTTAATATTGTATCGATCACCCCTTTTCTCTTCATTCCTCACCAAAACAGAGTTGGATTGCTTTTGACATTGAACTCCTCTGCTTCTACTCACAGTCTACTCAATACATCTGGAGAAGTCACACAATTGTGTTGACCTATTTCATTATAAATTCAGTTGATCCAGCTTCAACGAGGCCCCACAGTTGGGCAATCCTTTTATTCCATCCAAAATGATTCCCCATCTCATTCCCCACAGTGGCCTTTCTGGACCTTCTCTTCTCTCCTCAAGCCTCTCACACCTTCCCTCTTACCACCATCACCCCTCAGCTGAGGACCTCAATTCTTACTTCAATGAGAAAAGAGAGGCCATTCAATGTAACGTCTCCTGTTGTTCACCTCAGAATGCCTTGTGATCATCTCCTACTCTGTCCTTATTTCCAATAGACTCTGACAATTATGTGGCCCTTATCCTTGTCAAGGGCAACACCTCTATCCCTCTATTTGTACCCTTGATCCCATAACCTCCTATCTTCTCCAGTAGATTTCCTTATCATTTGCCCTCCCTTCCACCTTCTCTCTGTCTCTGTATCTCTCTCTCTCTCTGTCTCTCTCCCTCACACACAAACATAAATCTTCAACCTTTCATTATTTATTGGTTCCTTCCCTATTACCTTCAGCTATACCCATGTCTTCTCCATCCTTAAGTTTTCATCATTCAATTCTATGCAATCCATCTTCCACCCTTTTCACTTGACTGAAACTGCTCTCTCCAAGTTTCCAGTGACCTCCTTGTTGCCCAATCTGATGTGTGTTTTCTAACGTCCTTGTACTTCTCTGCCTATCTGCTACATTTGATCCTTCTACTTCCACAACTCCCCTCACATCTGATCTCTGTTATCTATTCACACAAATACTACTCAGTCAAGGCCCTCTTCACCTCTTCCCTACATTACTGAATCAGCCTCCTAATTGATCTCCTTGACCCAAATTTCTCTCTCAGGAATCTAATCTATCCTTCATATCCCTGCCAAAGTTATTTTCCTTAAGCACAGATCTGATCATATCACTCCCCCACTTAATAAACTCCAATGGCTCCCTATTACCCCTTGGATAAATGATCAACCCTACTACTTAGCTTTTAAAGCACTGCAAACCTTCCCCTATCCTATCTTTCTAGCCTCATTGTACATTACTCACTTTGTCACATGCTATGATCGAGCCAAGCTAACCTTCTCTGTGTTCCTCACACAGAATACTCTATTTCCAATTCTGAGACCTTTGCACTGGCCATCTCTGGTGTCTGGAATGCACCAGCCCCCTCCACCACATGGAATCTCTTTCTCCCAGATGCAATGAAAGCACTAATTTCTACATGAAGTGTTTCCCAATTGCCCCAAATGCTACTTCCCTCATTCTAAAACTCCCTTGTATTTAACTTTGTTGTTGCTTAGTTGTGTCTGACTCTCCATGACCCCATTTGGGTTTTTCTTGGCAGAGACACCAGAGTGATCTGCCATTTCCTTCTTTAGCTCATTTTACAGTGGGTGTGGTCTTTGCTCCTTTCAGTCAACCAGTTCAACCAGTCCAACCAGTCCAAAAACAGGCATTTATTAAAAGTCTACTAGGTGAATGAAACGATAGAGAATTAGAGAACAAAGATTAGAAATGGTCATTCTGGGAAAACCAAGATGGAGGAGGGGATGTAAATGATATGGACAGGGTGAACATCAAATGTTCATGAAATCCTAAGGTCATGGTATGTTCTTTGGGGAGCATCCAGCTATTTTTACTAATCTCTAAAGGAAATTTTGTACTTCTTTCTATCACTTTAAAGGCATTCTTTGGAGAAGAGGTCCATAATCTTTACCAGATTGTCCATGGGGCAAAATCCAGGAAAGCAACCCCTCTACAGAAGGGACCAGCTATACCCATCAACTGCTAACCAACTGCCACCTATGGGGCAGACAAAGCGGCCTGGCTGAAACTGAAGTGCATCTTGAGGGAAAGACAGGAGGTAGCATGTGCCCTGTGGGTTAAACCATTGCAACTACCTCAACTAACATCTTCCCTCAAACTCCAGTAGAGATAGTCCAGGAATCTGAACCAAAGAGTCAAACAACCATTTCTCACTCTCTTCCCACCACCAACTCTGTTTGCCTTAACCTATCTTTCCAGCCCAATTACATTTTACAACTCTTTCTTACTTAATAGTCTCACTAAAATGATCTTCTTTTTATAACTCACATATGACATTCTTTATTCCTTCTCCATGCCTTTGCACTGGCCATGCCCTGTGCCTGGAATGCATTCCCTCCTTACATTTGCCTCATATAATCTCTCTCTCTCCTCTGAAGGCCGTATCTCAAGCACCATCTTCTATGTGAACCCTTTCCTGATTTCCTCAACCACCATTTCTTTCCCATTCAAATTATATTGCATTGAACTGCATTTTATTTACTTATACTTATTGTCTTTATATTAATTCCACATATACTCATATTCTTGTTGATACTGCTACTAGGCTATTAACTCCCTGTGGGTAGGGATCGTTTCATTCACTTAGTAGGCTTTTAATAAATGCTTGTTGATGGACTGGTTAACTGAAAGCAGCAGAGACCACACCCATCATGAGATGACTTCTGGAGACCTGGTCAGGGTGAAGCCTACCTGGGACACAGGCACTAAAGGAAAGTTACCTTCCCCTTTTAACTAACTCTTCTCGCTAGGTACTGGAGGAGTACAATTGCTATTAATACCTTCTGCATTTTGGCACTGTGGTACAGAGTGCCTCTCACCCTGCCTTTGTTTTGCTTCTGTTTTATATTCATAGAAGTGATTGATTTCACAGGTCTCCCAACTTCTGGTTTAGTGTTCCTTCAACTATGCCATGCTGTCTTTACAATGAAACTTGATTTCTCAAGTTAGCCACATGCAATCATCATATTTTCCCTTGGATTATTCCCCATTGAGATTTGCAGCAAAATCTTAGTTATCCTAAATCCTCACCACACCCATCACGAAACCACTTCTGGAGGCCAGGTCAGGGTGAAGCCTACCTGGGACCCAGGCATTAAATGAAAGTTACCTTCCTCTGTAATCCTCCCTCCTATCCCCTTAGTTATTTTATTTGCCTGTCTCTGAACTTCCTCTGGTTCTGTTATAGTTTTCATTGTGTGATGAGGGCCAAGGGAGGGGGGAAAAGCTCACATTTATATAAAATGTGGAGATTTGCCAAAGGCTTCATTTTGTTATTGGATCCTCAAAACAACTCATGAAGGACTTCTACGAGAGAATCAGAGAGGTGCAAATGATTCACCCCGGGTCATAAACCTAGGAATTGTCTCAGATTTGAACCATATTTTTCCTGACTCCAAGTCCAGAGCTCTGCCCACTCCTTTACCTGGCCTCTCTCATAAAGAAGAAGACACACACATGGAAAATGAAATGAGAGGGTTAGACAATCAAATTCTCCATTCATAGTCTTAATATCCCTTGAAACATCTCATTACGAACCTGAAAAAAGACTGAGTAGGTAGACTTGTTCAATCAAACATGAGTAGTTCCCAGAACCAATGGAGATTTGTGGCCCCAACCCAGGTCATTACTTTTGTTTGGATAAAAGCCTTGGTTGGGCTTTTGAAAGTTATTGTTTTTAAAGTCAAAGGACTGAAAGACATGCTAACAAATTCAGCCAGACAAGTTCAACAGCAAAACAGTCTAGAGGTTTCAGTCTGGCTAAGAGATATCTCTTATAATGAAGCATGAGAATCATTCAGAATAAATGGGCTTGCCGACGGCATGAAGAGTGGATATTGATCGATCTCTCATTTGCCAGCATTTCATACTGTAGTAGGATAATAGAAAACAGTTCTGAATTTCATATGTGGCACTCCTGTTAATATTAGGGGCCTTGAGCCCTGGAGGGGAAAATCTTGGAATCTTGATTGTGGGAATAGTACATGCAACACCTATACAGAAGAAAAAACAAAACAAAACACACACACACACACACACACACACACACACACATGCACACACACACGCACACACACACAAACAGCTCTGGGCAGTAAAATATGCTCTTTATTATAAGCTATGATAGCTGTCAACTAATTAGGACTAATGTACCCTTTCAGAAATAAGATATGGAGGAAGCTTTGAATCTTCAAAGGGTGCCAGAGAAAAGGAGATGATGGCATCTGATCAATTCAGCAATTTTGCAAAGGGTGATGTCTGAGCTTAAGGAGATAGCCCCTTCTTGATCTATTGGAGAATGGGGTGAGAACTGTCATGATAGAAGTGAAGCTTAAATTTTTCTTGACTCTTGAAACAACTTCAGTTGCTCAGAACAAGCAGTATGGCATAGCGATGGATATGGAGTTGGGAATAGATCTGCAAATATTTTTTTAAGCACTTCCTTTGCAGAAGGTAATGTGCTTAGCACTAGAAATATAAGGATAAAAGTAAAACAATCGCAGCCCTCAAGAACTTACATTCTATCCAGGGAAGACAATATATGTTTGTATCTATGTACACATATGTATAATATATTCAACATATATCTATATATTATACACATATATGCATTTGTCATTCAGTCATTTCAGTCATGTCTGACCCTTCG